TTTTTTTTTTTTTTTTCTCAAAATTGGTTTAGAGGAGCGTAAGAGTAGCGAGGCGAGAGAAAAAAACCGTGTCTCCTCCGTTTTCAGCTTTGTTGAACTGTTCGTGCGTACAGTGTTCTTGAATACGCAAAAATACGGACTGTTTTGCAGTCTCATTTGAGTGTTTTTTTTTCCTTTTTCTTCTTCTTCTTTTGTTATGTAAATAAACGAGCGGGAGCTAAGAAGGGGCAAATTTGTTGAATTGCGTAAAAAGTAACTTAACATGTATTTGTATGAAAATACTATCTATTATCGAAGTTCGGGCGTTAAATGAACTGCAATGTTGGATCGATCTCATATTGAAATGATCTTTTTTCAGACCATGTACACAAATATAGAAAGGGTCAGAGAAGACTTTCTTTGTCGACCGGCGCTATCTAATTCCCAGGAACTAAAGTCGTGTACAGTTACAGCAATTTGTAGGTAACAAGGAAAAACGGCGAACTAAAATCAGAGGATAATTATTACTTGTAGAATCAAGCGAGCATTTTATTTTTTATATTTTGTTCAGTTTTTGTAGTAAGTTAATTTTAGAACCAAGTGTTTCAAGTACCGACTCAACTGAATTCTTGACCAACGTACAGTAGCTTTGTTTTCTAAAACATGCCATTTTAACTGGTTCTTAAGCAAAGACAACTCTTTATACAAATCATTCCGTCACAAAACCCTTTTGACTTTGATGAGTGGTTTTGCAAAGATGTAGACACTCGAAACAGTAGACACGTTGAAGGAAGAATTGACACACAAAGCAGGTCCGTATATTGATTCAGTATGTTCGTCGATTCTCTTTAAATTATTAAAGGGATTTTCTCTTCATCTCCAAAAGCACATGGCTGTCTGGTTTTCCAGACAGTGATCCCTGGCAAATCACAATTTGTAAGTCATAGACTAATACATTTAAATGTCATATTCCCGGCGCACTTATAATACGCATCACGGCAAAAGGATACTTTAAGTTTGAATGAAAATCGGAGGTCAGAGTGACGTACTAAAACTTTCAATAGAAGTACGTCATAAAATACTGTATTCGCTCGATTAAACGCCAAGGCCTTTATTTAAGTTTTAGCGTTTCTGATGTGGCATTTAATCAAGAGCGGTGTTTAATCGAGGGTGTGGCATTAATTTCAAAATAATCTCATTCCTTACGGAAAACAACTACGGCAATCGTTAATTAATATCATGTAAAACATAACTAGTTTTAAATTCCAAAGTCGCGCTTTCGTTATAAATTGTCTGGATGGTGTATACGTATGTACATTACAGAATTTTTTCCTATAATCCTCAAATACACGCCGAATTATTCTGATTGGTGGGGCCTTTATTTGAGAGCGTCGTTAATAATCAACGGTAAATTTGGTCCCAGACGCGTCGCTTAATCGAGTAACTTGTAGTTGATTCAAAAAGCCAAAAACAAGAGACAATTTTTGAAACTGTAACACTAATCCAGTTTCTCGGTCAGGTACAGCAAAAAATGAAGAATGTAGAGTAATGTCGAGAAAGAAATTGAAGCGTGTCGTTGACAAAATAATTCAGTTTTCCGTACTTCATTTTCAATCAACAGATTCTCTAATATAGACTGAAATACCAATTTTTAAATGAGTCAGGCCAAATAGGAAACCTTTTCCAATTTTTAGCTTTCAAGACCGTCATTGTCACTTTCAAGTGAAATCCAGTAAAATTAGCACGTGCGTCATTAAGAGAGGATAAAAGGGACAAAGGCGGTCTTAAAAATAACTCCAGACGAATTACCTATAGAATAGGGTGTGTATGGGGGATGCCTTCTCTCTCTCCTTTATCCTCTCTTGGCGTCATATATTACACCAACCATTCAACTTTGGGGACTGAGTAAATGGGTAATTTCAGAAAATAGACTATATCCTGCAAACAGACCTGAAACGAAACAATTCTATCATCGAAGTAATGGTACGTCACCAAAACAACAAGAATTACAGTCAAACCAGGTCAAGCGTACCCCCCAAGAATACATTAATGAATTTATTATTCAAAAGTTGAATCTGTTGCTAGTTGTAGGGCGCGATCCATTCAACCAAAATTCAGACCGGTCCGACCGGGAAAAGAGGACCACCTCAAAAGGTGGACCCGTTTTTTCGAAACTTTTCCGGTTGGACCGAACCGATCCATTGAGTTTTGGACCGAAATTTCCGGAAATTTTGGTTGAATGGATCGCGCCCGTAGATTTCAGATTGATCTCTGCATTCTTGTATGTGTAATGAGCCGTGAATTCACACGCGAGGCAGTTATGAAATTTCTACCAGCTCCATTTTCCTGAAATTGATGTAAATGTCTTCTAAGAAGCTTAATCCATTCAAAGATTTCCAATCTGACCAAATACAGAGAAGTTCTCGTAAAATATTCACTGCTCATTACGCATGCAGAAATGCCGCTTTGAACTTGACACCAGTTACGGGAACGGCTAACGGATTCATTTTTCAAATAATCAATTCACTGATAGAATCTTGGAGGGTACGCTTGACTTGGTTTGACTGTAAACAAAAATTAAAAGTTATGTTATGATGTCGGCCTTCAAGGCGATAGAAAAAAAACGCTAAAATATCTGCACATGGAAACAAAGAAATTGAATACTAAATAATCAGCAAAAGTCTCCACTGAGCGTTTATAGTTAATTATGAAATGAAATGCCAACGTACTAGCAGTACACTTGCAACTCGAAGAGAGCAACAATTTTATTGTATAGATTTATTTATTTAAGTACTTGAAATTAATCAAACATTTACAGGGAAGAATGAGTCACGGTTTTTCTCTTTAGTTTTTATTGTGTGCGGTATTTTAACATTGACACATGCATGGCATAAAGTACAAAAGACTACTAACACGAAAAAATATCTTGAAGACTGCTACAATGATTATTATGCAAAAGCCAAGTTGCTTCACATAAAAAGCGTTAATAAACCTGATCCATTATCAATATCCAACGTCAGCGCGCGTGAAACTGGTCTGAAGGCAAAAAAGTGACTCTAGTTCAGTCAGCTAAAATTTTCGCCATGTCCTATTTTCCTTACCATTTTCACCTCAGCCTTTTGTTCTTGGCCTTGTATGTGACGAACCATTCTTTGGCGAAGCAAGCAAAGAGCGCCCAAGTAACTACAGTTCCCACAAAACAGTGCACCAACGTCTACAACAGTTTCTACGCGGGTCCAAACAAGAACATTGAGAATATCCTACAGGAAATGAAGAAGCAACTTGGCGAACTTCAAGAAGATATGCAAATTTTGAAAAATAACAAAACTTCTTCCAAAGGTCCACGGAATATTATTTCTAGAATTCAATTAACCAATGCGCAAACATTCAGTAAATAACTCAATTGCAATATTGATTATTTAACGAATACTTCCTCTTTTTTGCTCAACAGCCAAGAAAAACTGTGCTGAGTTGTACAAATCGGGCGAGAAAATCAGCGGCGTTTATACAATCGCTCCTGATGGTGCAGGTGCCTTTGATGTGTTTTGTGACCAAAAAACGGCCGGTGGAGGGTGGACAGTGTTCCAAAAGAGACTGGACGGCTCGGTTGATTTCTACCGCGGTTGGGCTGACTACAAACGAGGTTTTGGTAACCTAAACGGTGAGTTTTGGCTTGGGTTGGACAAGATTCACCGCTTGACCCAAACAAAAAGCAAGCTACGAGTTGACCTGGAGGACACTACGGGTAAAACTGCCTACGCTGAATACGACATGTTTGCAGTTACGAGCGAGAAGGCTAATTATCAGCTTAGCTTGGGAACATACTCAGGTACAGTAAATAAAAATGCACTTGCACGGCTTTACATGCTTTTCGAACTCCCCTTTATTACTTCCCTATCTAATGTTCAGTTCCTTATACGGCAAATATCAATGAAAGAATCTAAAACGGTACTTGATTTTCTTGCTCATGCACTAAGTACATGCCGGATGGTTAATTTTTCCATGCTTGACAAAAAGCCCTTTTTTTCTTTTGACCGTTAGATCCCTCGAGTAAGTCTTTTCTTTTCTTTTTTCTTCTCTTTTTTTTTTTTGGAAACAGCAGATTAGCATGACTTCACTTTTTAGAAAACGAGCTCTATCATTTTCCCCCAGGAACTGCAGGTGATTCTCTTTCTGGTCATCGTGGTTACCCATTCTCGACTAAAGACCGAGATAACGACAGTTCATCCGGAAATTGTGCTGTAAGCTATAAGGGAGCCTGGTGGTATACGTCCTGTCATGCCTCTAACCTGAATGGCCTCTACCATCATGGCAAGCACAAGTCAGGCGCCGATGGTGTCAACTGGTATGCATGGAAAGGACACCACTACTCCGCAAAGACAGCTGAGATGAAAATAAGACCAGTTGACTTTTGAAACCTCTTCTGATGTCTGTTAGTCCGACAGCTGTAAATGTTTATCCAATACTAAGAGCATAAAGTACATGGGATAAAATAAAGTCACGTTAAAACTCAGTACAACTCTATGATCAGTATTTTTTCACTTAGTTAGATATCAAGTGATCGGCCGAAGGGCAAGTACAATACGGCATCAAGGACGACAGGCCACACGGTTAAGCTATTATTCATAACGTTGACTTTTTTCCTGCCGCAAAACTTACATTAAGACATAAAGACACATAAAGACATAAAGTCATAAAGACACATCACGGTTGTCCAAATCCTTTTTATTTCTCACGTAACATGTACAAAGTTGCCTTTGTGGGTGGATGGAGCATAAAAGCAACGCAGAGTTGTTTTAGGGATAAGGAACAACATTAACAACAAAAATGGCAAGGCTTCCAAAATTTCCATTACTTCTGAGGTGATATGAGCCTCAAAGCCTTTCTGATGTACACCAACCAAAAGCAACTAATTGTCTCGGTGTGGATTGAAGTCTCCTGTTTGTTTTTGTTTTTTTTTCTTTATAGTTTGTTTTTTTTTTCTTTTAACTTTGTTGCAGAGAAGCACAGTACATTTTTTAGTGGACAGCTGAAATATTGAAGTGTTTATCGATACATTAAATATAGCGAAAATGTGGAACAGCTGTATGTAAATATCTGAACGCAGCTGTTACCGTGAGTAAAACTGAAACACGTCAGCCCGCGTGTTTGAAGTTTGACCCTTTTCAGAAGCCTTTTTGTCATAAAATGTGACATCATCAACGAAAATTTCATTAATTATCAGCATTATCAGACATAAACTCTCCAGAACTTTATTGCCCCCAGACACCCCTGGCCCCTAACTGCGGATCCAATGTAGTTCAGGAAGTTTGTTCGATTCCCTCATAATGTAAAATGCTATTCTTCACTTCAAGTATTTTCACTTAGTACGTTTTCCACCATGAGGTTCTTATTCCGTTCACCACCCAGCCTAATTTGTCCATCACGGAATCAGTTCCTCGGCCATCCTTGGAGATATAGCCAAATATGTCTCCTACCGAGGTAAGAAGATTTGGTTATCTTTACATCAACGAAATTTGGGTTCTGACAAAATACCGCCAACCCTTCATGTAAGCTGGGGTGAAATTTCGCATTTCAAGAAATAGAAGGAGTGGATCCTATAAAAAGGATCTTCACAGCTTTGAATGAAAATATCGAACAAAAGAAGCAAGTCGGCAATATATATTTTTTGTTACTAATATTTCGGAACGCACGGCCTTCCTTCTTCAGGGTCTAACATACAATGACTAGGTAAAGCTAAGACGTTACAATTTGAAATAAAGGATAGCGTGCAATTCAATACGATACTATGATAACATGTTAAAATTAAATAAGTATAGGAGAACAAAAACCGTTGACGTCGTTATATGAAAGAAATTCGAAATGGAAAAAAGTATACACAAATCAAATCATTTAATCTTTCTTATTAAATACTTAAAGCTTTAAGAGTTTTGCCTCTCTCGATTGAGATATACTTCTGTAGCTTTTCGCACACTGTCTGACGGCAAAAAAAAACGAAAATAGAAAATGTAAAAAATGGGCAGGAAAAGTATGGAGGGAAAAAACTCGCGTTCATGCACATTTGGAGCAAAACTTCAAAAATATTATAATTTCTTCAAATTTTAGTTTGAAATTTCTTCGAAAGGTTATTAAGATAAATTTCTTACCTGAATCAGTTTACATTTGCCTAAAGAAGCATTAAATTCTTTTCGCAAAATACAATTTACAATCGGAACGAACTTTTGAAAAACCCTGTATAACCACCACTATTCACCTCCCCTTCGGGGGATAGTTGTATAATATCTTCCCGACCATAAAATCAGCCTTGCTTCTTTTGTTCGCATTTCAAGCACTTGCGCGTTTAAATTTGGCGGTAAATCTATATCGCAAAACCACTTGGACTTTTGGAGAGAAAAACCGTCAACAGAGCTAAGTCTTCTTTCCGGCTAAATTTTAATGTCTACACTGACGTGGATAATAGAGAAAGAGCGTGTGAGAGAGAGAGAGATAAAAACAAAGGAGACAAATCTCGATGAAAGAAAAACATGAGAAAATGAGACTGAATGCTAGCGGCCACCAAAGTGAAAATGAGCGGCAGTTAAAAAAATTCAATTATAGCGAACAGAAACATATACAGCATTTCCTCCACAATTCGTGTTTTGAGGACGTTTTAGTCGAAAAGTATGCGGTTTTGAACATTTTTAACAAGCAAGATAGTTTTGCATTTTTATTCTTATCAACAAATTGTTTGAAATAGATTTAATTCATGAAATAAAATGGCCTAGGGAAAAAACGTTTTGACCTTTTAACGGTCAAGATAGCCATTTTCGAGTTCAAGGGGAATTTAAAATCTTTTAAAGTCACAAGCTCAAAAAAATCAGAGCATCGGTATTGTCGCGTAGCGTTCGAAATATGGGGGTTTGTATGGGATTAAAAACGGTTGTCCCCCTACTAATTTAACTGAATTATATAACAATCATCTAACTTGACTCAATTAAGTTGTGTTTCTTCTTCCACATGAGGTCCTCGAGTCGACTTATATAGACAATATATAGAGGAGCAAACCAGTCACAATAAAAGATAACAATAAAAACCGGCTTGAAGACCAGGAGACGGGAGGTACTCCCTATAATAGCCTATACGGGGAGGCTCCGCCCGAAATGGGTTCCTTGCTTCAGGCCTCAGTTATATCAAAGGGTAGGATTTCACTAGTTTAACTATATCAAAGGGTGGGGAAATCTGTCATTTGAGTTTGTAAAAAGGCCCAAAAGGACAAACAGATGCATTTTAGGGCTGTGAGAGAGTCGAGAAAACGTTCTAGTTTTGTAATTAATCCATATTTAAATGACAGGGCATTAACAACGGTTGAAAGGAGTGCATAGTTCTAAGCCCCCAGGTTCAAAAAACTGGGTATATGAAAGGGGTACCATTTGTCAATAGAAGACAACTTTCTTTTCCCCCAGGCTTAAAAATCACACATGAATTTGAATGTTACTCAACGGTGCCGACGTATATATTTCGAGCTTGGGCTACCATGCGCATCTTTTTCATATATTTTCAAGAAATCATAATGATAATTTTGTAAGCTCATTACATTTCGGACGGGCAGTTTTACTTTCGAGGGGTGGGAGAGGTATAGGTTATTTTGAAAAACAAAATCCTGTCAACAGATAGAACGAAAAAAATACTGCCACGAATTAATAGTCCTAAAATTACACCAAAAAACTTAGGAAGTAGGCTTAGAAAAGAATTGGAGATCACCCAAACTAAATTGATTTTGTTATTTGTGGAAAATCATTTTGCATTCACAATATTTTTTGGTGTCTCCTTTTTTGAAATTATGGAAGATTAAGCAGGAAGTCTCAGAAGTCTTCTTAGCCTGCTCTAGACACTAGGGGGATTGTACAGTCCCCGAAATGATCCCCAACCCTGAAATGATCCCCAAATTGACCCCGAAATGATCCCCATTTTTCTTCTTGTCGACCCCGAAATGATCCCCAAGGAATTAGGGAATGGTGATTAAACATGGGACTGTGGATTGCTTTTTTGTTCTTTGTTCTTTTTTGTTTTTGTTTTTTTTTTTTTTGGGGGGGGGGGGGGG